GCCCTCCGTGCTTCTTCCTCCTGCCTCTGTCGCTGCTCTTCCATCGACACTCGGAGAGCCTGTGGGGGGGCAGAGGGACACATCAGTGACCACCCAGCATCCACAGCCCCTTCCCCAACACAACCACCCCTAGATGGCAAGACGTTTTGGAATCCATTTACCAGAATTCCGTAGACAGTCACAGCTAGCTCGGGGACTCTGGGAATTTCAAACCAACCCACTGCGAGGTTGGAGAAAGCCGATTTCCAGAGCCCTAGGGGTGCTCCCAGCCTCCATGCCTTACCAGTGCCAGCTCTGGGTCAGCGCTGGGATCCACGCCGAACTCGAAGTCGCTTGCTCCCAGGCCCAGCATGGCTCCTCCCTCCCCAGCCAAGATCGGGGAGCTGATGAGGGCGTCGGCCAAGCTTGGCCCAGGAGGCACAGTCACCAGGTGGGAGCCGGTGCCATCTTTGCCGTTCAAGGTGTTGATGAAAGCTGTCAGCTTGTCCGTGTTGGCCTCCTACCAGAGCGGGAAGGAAACGGGGAAAGTCAGGGAGGTCGCCGCAAAACTCGCTACGAGCCTGATTCTGCAAAGCGAGCCTGGCGCCCCTCACCTCTTCTCCAAAGTTGATGATGTCCACGTTCACCTTCTCCTTCTTCAGCCGCTTGGCCAGTTTCACAAGCTGTAAACAAAGGACCCATTTTGAAATGCAGGGCCATCAGGCCCCTTCACTGGACGGGCACCTGGGGCAACCTGAACCAAGGCAACCCGAAACAGCAAGAGGTTACGGGGACAGCGGCTCCGTCTTGAAAAAAGGCCAGAAATGCCATTTCTGGCAACTCTTGCGTCACTCACGTCTTTCTCATTGTCTTCCACGGGGCTCCCAACGAAGGCAATGATGCGCATTTTGTGGTTCTTCCCTTGGCGGTGCTTCAAAGCCAACTGAAATGGAAGAACAGCGTTGGGGAGGGGCTGCGGCCCCTTCCACTTGCCCCTCTTTCTGTCCGGCTCTTTGCTTTGCCCTTGGCCTGGGAGTCAGCTTGTGCCCGCTGCATCACTGTCCCGAGAGGGAACTGGGGGAAGGCCTGTGCCCGGGAAGGTGAGCAGGAGGCCCAGGAGAAGCCAGAATCAGCAGGCCAGACCCTCTCGGCAAACTGTTGTCCGAGAGAAATACCTTCTGCTGAGCTCAGAACCTGGGGCTCCTGAGAGCTTTCCCCTCCTGGACCCCAACAGGTCCCTATCTTTTATTTACTGACGACGCCATCCAGTTCCAAACGACCACCTGGCATCTGTCTGAATACATAGGCAGATAGAACCACGCAGGCAACCCAGACCTCTGGAGCTTTACCCAAAGCTTTTAAGCCTCTCTATCTGACGAGTCGAGAGCTCAAGTCTCTCAGCCAAGGCAAGAAGCGGCGGGGATGGCAGCCCCGTGGCCAACCGCGCCCGGGATGACTCGGTCCAGATGGCGGCCCGGGAGATCCCGGGGGAAGAGCCGGCTTACGTGAGCCACTCGGATCCCAGTGCAGAACGTGATCCTCCCTCTGGGCTGCACCGAATGCAGCTTGGACAGGATGCGGCCCGTGTCCGGAGTCAGGGTGGTCAGCACCTCGCAGTTGCTGGAACGGAAACGGACCGGCTTCACAACGCATCCGTGGGGGGGGCGGTCTGGGACAGGAAAGCCCACGCCGGGCAAACCACAAAGCCAGCATCGTGCTGTTCCCTCCGCGGCCGAGGACGGGTTCATGCAGTGCCGGGAAGGCCCCGGTGAGAGCCCGGGACCGAGTCCGGGGTGCCCGGGGGGCAGGACCTACTTGGCCAGCGTGATGAGCCCGACGTTGTTCTCCGGGTTGCTGCGCGTCTTCGAGTGGCAGACGATGTTGACGGCGTCCTGCTGCGCCTGCAGGCGGGTGGGGAGGAAGTCCCCGTTCCGCATGTACTCGCTGTTGTCCACGCTGGGGGGGCAGAGGAGGCATGGCAGTGCCAGTCGGGGCACGGGCACGGCTCCCCGGCCGGGGGGAGCAGGGCCGAGTGGGGGCTGGCCCCCAGCCCTGGGGAGCCCAGATTCCAGGAGGGCCCCCCCGCGAGCAGCAGGGCGGCAGGGGCAAGAGCA